TGGAATTGACTTGACGGCAGTGGGTTTTGTTTGGTATTTTTTATGCTTTAATTTAGGAGTCCCTGGGTGGTGCAAATGGGTAACGTGCTTGGCTGCTAACTGAAAGGTTGGAAGTTTGAGTCCACCCAGAGGTGCCTTGGAAGAAAGGCCTGGAAATCTTCCACAAAATCAGTCATTAAAAACTCTATGGAGTACAGTAGTACTCTGACACACATGGGGTGGCCAGGAGTCAGAATTGACTCAATGGCAACTAGTTTAACTAGCATGGTTTATTCTGCGTAAATAAATACTAGGGGTAGGGTAGGGTGGGTGGAAGGGAGTGTTCTAAGTACTTTACATGTCATAACACAAATCCTCACAAAAAGCTCATGAGTGGGGAAAGCAAGACTTTGCATAACAATGTATATCTTGTTATGCTTTCTGATCTTTGAGCCATATGAACATTTTGTCATTTGCAGATTATAAAGAGAAAAGTAATAGTAGCTAACTCATAAACCACCTAACTCTTTCCTCATACTGTGCTAAGCTCATTTCATTTATTATCTCAGGTATTTCCCACAGCAGGTTATGTTATCATTATTTCCATTTTACAGGTAAGGAAATTGAGTTTAGAGAAGTTAAGGAACTTGCTTAGAGTTACATAGCTAGTAAGTTGTGAGCTGGGAATCAAACCCAGGCCACCTAGCTCCAGACCTGTCCTGTGAGCTATTCTATTCTCACAGTGGTTTTTAATATTTCAATTCTACCTTGAGAAACATGAGAGTTGATGTCCCCCTCATAGCCTGTTCTCAGGGGCATACTCATCTTTGCAAACGTACGATGAACTCATCAACAGTTCATCAGTAACAATAGCTCATCGTAGCTGTGGCATAAGATGAAGTGTCTGCAGTCACATGATATCCCCTGAAGGCTAGCTGTTACTCCTTCCCTTCCTCTCAGAAACATGAAAGCATATCAAAGTGAAAGTAACAGCAATATCATTTTTTAAAAAATACTTGACGTCTATTGAATTCTCACCGTGTGGCAGGCATGGATGTTCCCGGTACATCGCATATATAACAATTTAATGCTCATAAAAACCTTACTAGGCAGCTACTATCATTATCATCTGGGTGTAGTGGTTTGCAATCAACTGCTAACCAAGAGGTTGGCTGTTTGAATCCACCCAGTGGTGCCATGGAAGAAAGGCCTGCTGATCTACTTCCGTAAAGGTTATAGCCAAGAAAACCCTACGGAGCAGTTCTACTCTGTGATACACGGGGTTGCCATGAGTCAGAATGGACTCAATGGAAATGCGCTTGGTTTTTTCGGTATCGTTATCACCATTTTACAGGTGAGGGAACTGAGGTACAGAGAGGTCAGATAACTTGCCCAAACTTACACAGTGGTAAGGGATGGTGCCTCCACCCTGAGCTTAGAAAATCTAGCTCTAGATCAGAGCTCTATTCTGATCAGACTTGTATTTTTGAAAATAATTTGCAAACTTCAGTTCTTTAGCTATTACTCAGACACACTATTTATTACATTTCATGATTGATCTGAACATGCTGTTTTGTCTTATGCCCTATATCAAAGGGCAGAGCATGGCGTGTTCAGAGCAGGGCAACCCTGACAAATTCACCAGGGCATGGTGGTGGGAGCACAAGGGCCAAACCAAACTGAGCAGTGCAGCTGCTCGAGGCTGGAATGCTGGCCAGGGGGGCTTTCTGGTGCTCTCTGGAACACCTGAAGGTGGCCAGGACCCAGGGGGTATGAACTTCAAAGCACTTGAAGCCTTCACCATAACCTCTCATTTTTGATCAGCGGGAGCCACAATCTGGGAATGTGGGTTGTTTAAATTATTTTTTTAACTTAGGAAAGGGTCAGGATAAGTACAAGAGGACTGAAGTGATTTTCAGTAATGTCTTTCCAAATCCTCTTTGTACCACAATGCCCAGTAAATGAAAATATTATCCAAATGGAACAATGCTTCTTAGAGAATGTGGGGAGAAGAAGTGATGAATGAAGGGAAGCTGGGCTAAGCACGAGATCCAGGGCCCATGTTGGTCTTTGTGGCACCTTTGTGTGCTCCCTCCTGGCAGATGCAGCCCTGCAAGGCAAGCACTTGGTGGGTGGAGCCCAGGCTATATGGCAGCCTCTACTTGCAATGGAAATGCAGGCAAAAAGTTGCTAGAGATGGACACCTGAGTCCAGAACAGAAACTGGTTAAACCAGGAGTCAAATGACCAGAGGGAATTTGGGTGCTCACTCAGACTATGGTTATGCCTGGAGCAGAGGAATAGTGTTTAGGACAGATATTTCTCTTCAGCTGTACTGTCAAACTCAAGAATATTTCAATACTGTCATATAAGGTTCAGTGTTGACCACAGGTTAGTGTCTTCTCCTGCAGTTTCTGGGTGGAAGGAACCCTACCTCATATGACCCTAAAACCAGAAACCAGTTGTCATCCAGTTGATTCTGACTCATGGTGACCCCATGTGTTTTAACTGCACTCCATAGAGTTTTCAAGGCAACGACCTTTGGAAAGCAGATTGCCAGACTTTTCTTCCCAGATGCCTCTGGGTGGATTTGAATTGCCAATCTTTTGGTTAGTAGTCAAGTGGTTCGCCCTTTGCACCACCCAGGGACACCTCATAAAATCCTGTGTTTCTTGTTTGTGCCCTGGAGTTGATTCCAACCGAGAGTGATCCTATTGGTCAGTAAAACTGCCCCATAGGGTTTCATAGGCTGTAAAGATGTTTACCTATGTTTTATTGACTATGCAAAGGCATTTGACTGTGTGGATCATAAATTATAGATAACATTGTGAAGAACCCTTAACTGTGTTCAGGAGGAACCTGTACATAGACAAAGAGGCAGTTGTTCAAACAGAACTAGGGGATACTGTGTGATTTAAAATCAGGGAAGGTGTACGTCAGGGTTGTATCCTTTCACCATACTTATTCAATCTATGGAACCCTGATGGTGCAGTGGTTAAGAGCTCGGCTGCTAACCAAAAGGTCAGCAGTTCAAATCCACCAGTTGCTCCTTGGAAACTCTATGGGGCAGTTCCACTCTGTCCTACATGGTTGCTATGAGTTGCAAACAACCCGATGGCGACGGGTTTGGTTTTGGTATTCAATCTGTATGCAGAGCAAATAATCTGAGAAGCTGGACTATACCAAGAAAGGGGCATCAGGATTAGAGGGAGACTCATTAACAACCTGCGATATTCAGATGACACCACTTTGCTTGCTGAAAGTGAAGAAGACTTGAAGCACTTACTGATCAAAGAACACAGCGTTCAGTGTGGATTACACCTCAACATAAGGAAAATAAAAATCCTCACAACTGGACCAATAAGCAACATCATGATAAACAGAGAAAAGATTGAAGTCGTTAAGGATTTCATTTTACTTAGATTCATAATCAATGCCCATGGAAGCAGCAGTCAAGAAATGAAATGATGTAAGGAAAGAAAAAAGGAAATGATGTATTGCATTAGGCAAATCTGCTACAAAAGACCTCTTTAAAGTGTTAAAAAGCAAAGATGTCACTTTAAGGACTAAGGTGTGCCTGATCCAAGCCATGGTGTTTTCAGTCGCCTCATATGCATTCAAAAGCTGGACAATGAATAAGGAAGACCAAAGAAGAATTGATGCCTTTGAATTATGGTGTTGGCAAAGAATATTGAATATATCATGGACTGCTGGAACAAACCTGTCTTGGAAGAGGTATAGCCAGAATTCTCCTTAGAAGTGAGAATGGCGAGACTTCGTCTCACATAATTTGGACTTGTTATCAGTAGGGACTAGTCACTGAAGAAGGACATCATGCTTGGTAAAGTAGAGGGTCAACGAAAGAAAGGAAGACCCTCAATGAGACAGACTGACACAGTGGTTGCCACAATGGGCTCAAGCATGACAACGATTGTGAGGATGGTGCAGGACCGGGCAATGTTTCATTCGTTCTGTTGTACATAGGGTCACTATGAGTTGGAACCAACTCAACAACACTTTACAATAACAACAACAATCTTTATGGGGGCAAATAACCACACCTTTCTCCCACTGAGCAGCTGGGGCCTTTTTCATTAGCAGCAGAGTGCTAACCATTGTGCCACCAGGGCTCCTTCATAAAACCCTAACCTCCAGCAGGAAGCCCTGGTAGCCTAGTGGTTAAGAGCTATGGCTGCTAACCAGAAGGTTGGCAGTTTGAATCCACCAGGCAAACTTTGGTAACCCTAGGGGACAGTTCTACTTTGTCCTCTAGGGTCGCTATGAGTCGGAATAGACTCTACGGCAACCGGTTTTAATCTCCGGTAGTTCTGGGTTCAGTGTACAGGCTCAATAAACACTCATTGTCCTGTTAATTTATTTCCTGGATGGCCTTGGCGTGGGCTTTGTATTCCTGATTAGGCTCAGAGAAAAGGAGAGGAAGCAAATGTCTTGCTGGAAGCACAGCCAACAGATCTGCCCCATGGTGATTCTTCTTGTACGGAGGAAATAAGACACTACTCCCCCCCCCACCCCCCACCCCCCAAAAAAAGACCCTAAACCCCAGGGCAAACTGTGTATCTCTGGATAAAACTTGGGAAGGCAAGGAGAAGCTAAATGATCAACCTTTCCCTGATGTGGGCTATGCATCCAATAGTTAAAAGCATTAGACCTTGAGACAGAGCAAGGGAAATACTAATGTCCTTAATTTTGAATTTCTCAGACTCCAATTTATTATACACTGGTGAAAACCAGCTTTATTTCATAACTCCAGGTATTTTAAAAATATCTTAGCCTTAGCATTTATCCTTGTTTAAAAAAAAAAAAACTCTAGAAATAGCAACAGGTTTTCTTAGAAGACTCTCAAAGACGTATCCATGGATTTCTTTACCCCTTTTCAAATCCTGGGGCAACAGATCTCACTATGGGTAACATATTCACCTGCTTTGTGGCTAAGAAGTAGACCTTGAAATACCAGATCTTACAGCGGAATTCCAGAGACAAACAGGAAAGTCATCAACTCACCTTGGAGTAGGCCCTGCTGCCAGGATATTTTTTAGTAAAGTGCATATCACAAAGGCAAACCTCCAGCCAGTCGACATGCTGACTTTGCAGGCAGACTCAAGTGGAGTGGCCAGGCTGGCTGTGACAATGTTGAAATTTCTCTGTACCCTGCGATCCTGTTTATTTGCAAAGGGGCAGAGAACTGGGGGGACAATCATTGATGGTCTGTGGTAGGTCAGGGTTTTTGCTAATTTGGACTTCCTGGGCACCAAAGTCCAATCAAAGGAGAGTCATTTTGAAATTCTTGGCTTTCTGTAGTTTTGTATTGACCAGTGTACTTGGGAAATGAGACTCTGAATGCTAAATTGACTAAGATTAGTGCTAGTGTTGTGTTTAAAATTTTTTAAAAAAAGCAAAAAACAAAACAAACAACAACAAAAAACAGTGGTTCTCACTTTGGGAGACTCTAGAAAGGGGTGAGGAGTGTGTAATTGGAAAGAACAGACCTGTGGATGATTCTAACAGAGGCAGAAAGTCAAAATTAGTAAGAGGCTCTAACTGAACTGACTGGAAAGGGAGGCACACAGATTTTCCAATTTCCTTTTTATTCAATCTGAAAATGAGCTGTGTGGGTTATTTCCACACAGGTAAGGTAAAATCCATTTAGAAACCTGGCTTTTCTTTACAGGTATAATGGATAATTTTGAAAAATCCAGGTAAGCTCCCAAAGGCATTTGCAATATCCTCCAGAGGGCTGTTACTGTTGGTAGGTGCCTTTGCGTCGATTTTGACTCACAGCAGCTCCATGTAACAGAGTAGAACTGCCCCATAGGATAGTCTAAGCTATAATCTTTATGAGAGCAGATCAATAGATCTTTCTCCTGTGGAGTTACTGGGTGGGTTTGAACTGCACTTAATGGTTGAACCACCAGAGTTCCTTTCCAGAGGGCTGTGATCTCCTTATTCCAGAAATGCACATGTCGGCAAGATAGGTTCTGAGATGGAAAAATTTGCCCCAGCCCATTGGAAAGGATGTGTTTTTACATTTTCCTGTTCTCAGGACTTGTGTAAAAGGTAAGGCATTATCGAAGTACTGGTGATGTGGATATCACAGCTGCTCTTAAAACACTGGTTGCACAAGAAAATAGCCTGGGGAACTTTTAAAATACAGGTAGTCCCCCACTTACGATGGAGTTCCGTTTGGACAACTCTGTTGTAAGTCAGTTTTGAGGTAAATTGAATACCTCTTTTGGTTTTCATTATTATTGCCTTTTATCATCAGTATAAGGAGCCCTGGTGGTACACTGGTTAAAGCACTTGGCTGCGAACCATAAGGTTGGCAGTTTGAACCCACCAGCCGCTCCGCAGAAGAAAGATGTGACAGTCAGCTTTTGTAAAGACTTACAGCCTTGGAAACCTTATCGAGTTTACGAGTCAGAGTCAACTTGATGGCAGTGGGTTTGGTGTGTGGGTTTATTACCACTATCTTTAAAATCTGATCTTTGTCTTTGGGGGTTGGCATGAGAATGATAACAAGAGAAAATTACGCACTGTAACACTGTATGTAGAACATATTAATAATGATACCACGTACCAGACAAAACAAAGTGTGGTTGGTTGTAACTGGAATATGTTGTAAATCAGGGACCACCTGTATATTGATATCTGCCCACCCCATCTCTTTCTAAGTTAGTTGATTTCAGGTGGACCCCGCATCAGCATGTTTCAAAGCTCCCCGATTCATTCTAACGTGTGATCAAAGTTGTTAAATAACCAAAACTTACTGAAATTTGAACATAAGTTTTATTCTAAGCAGCTATTCTATATGCATATAGGGAGGCCATTTTTTTAAAATGGTGCCTTAAGTGAAAGTTTAGAGTTCACGTTAGTTTCTCATACAGAAATTTATACACACATTGTTATGTGACCCTAGTTGCTCTCCCTATAATGTGACAGCGCACTCCTTTCCACCCCGGATTTCCTGTGTCCATTCAACCAGTTTCTGTCCATTTTTGCCTTCTCGTCTTGCCTCTGGACAGGGGCTGCCCATTTAGTCTCATGTATCTACTTGAGCTAAGAAGCACTCTCTTCACAAGCATCATTTTATGTCTTATAGTCCAGTCTAATCTATGTCTGAAGAGTTGGCTTTGGAAATGGTTTCAGTTCTGGGCTAATGGTTTCAGTTCTAGTCTTTGTACTAGAATTTGAGTTCTGCACCCCATTTTTCTCTTGCTCCATCAGGGACTCTCTGTTGTGTTCCCTGTCAAGGCCGTCATTGATGGTAGCCGGGCACCACCTAGTTCTGGTCTCAGGCTGGTAGAATCTCTGGTTTATGTATCCTTTCTGTCTCTTGGACTAATATTTTCCTTGTGTCTTTGGCATTCTTCATTCATAGCGAAGCCATTTTGATTCCAGAAAAAACAAATGACTTGAAGAAGGTAGGTACAAAGGGGCTTATAAAGAGAGGAGGGAGAAATATAAAAGATAAACCGTTGGTTAATTTTAACATAATTGAACCCTGCCTTCCCCGTTTACTGAGATAACTGATATCCAGTTATTTCTGGCCTGTCTGTTAATAACTTGGCCCTCCACCCATCTGCAGCCATGAGGCTTTTTGAGATTTAAGTTAGGAGATAACGGTTTGATGGCTAACCTTTTCTAGCAGGCTAAGACAAATTTATATTGCTATAGAGCATTTTCTGGCAGGCTTTTGCAGTTTGGATCAGATTTTTTGTGGTTAATATTTAGTTTAATGGATAAGAAAAACCTTAAAATCAAAGTAAGATGTCTGTTATTAATTTTCCTATTCAACAGAGTCGAAAATGATGGCCTTGAGAAGAAAGAAGTGAGATGGAGTTTTGTAGGCAAGGGAAGAAATAATTCCATAAAACATCATTGAAGTGCTACATTTTTTTTTTAAATCTGCTGACAGAAGGACTTAAGGGGACTTCATAAAGTATTTATTAATTACAAATTGGCTGTTTTCAAACATTAGTATTTTCACACAGAAAATCTCACCACTGGACAATGTGCATCATCATCCAGTTGCTATGAAGTCAACTCTGACTCATGGCAACCCCATGTGTGTCAGAGAAGAACTGGATGCTGCAAATGGTTCACTGTGCTCAGCTGCTAACCATAAGGTTGGAGGTGTCTATCCAGAGGTGCCTGAAAGGAAAGGCCTGGCAATCTACTTCCAAAAAATCAGCCATTGAAAACTCTATGGATCACAGTTCTACTTTGACACACGTGGAGTCGACATGAGTTGAAGTTGATTCCACAGCAAATGGTGAAGTGGTTAAAGTTTATTTAAACAGAGATCATTAACTGTGTCTAGGTCAGTTGTTTGCAGTAAGCAGTTCTCTGAAAAGGGTGGGAGCATTTCTTTAACTACCACTGCTCTCCAGAGTCATGCTGTTGTTGTTAGAGGCCATCAAGTCGATTTTGACTCATAGCAGCCCCATGTGACAGAGTAGAATTGCCCCATAGGGTTTCTAGGCTGTAATCTTTACAGGAGCAGATCCCTAGCTCTTTCTCCTGCTGAGCCACTGGGTGGGTTTGAACAGTCACCCTTTTGGTTAGCAGCCCAGCTTTTAACCATTGTGCCACCAAAGCTCCTTTTCCAGGATCATAGCCCATATAGCCCATTGCCGTCGAGTCGATTCTGACTCATAGCAGCCCTGTAGGACAGAGTAGAACTGCCCCATAGGGTTTCTAAGGAGCAGCTGGTGGATTTGAACTGCCAGCCTTTAGGTTAGCAGCTGAGCTCTTAACCACTGTGCCACCAGGGCTCCTTCCAGGATCACAGGACTCAGTAAAATTTAACTTTGCTGGTATATACAAAGCAGGGATACAGTTGGAAGGATGACAGGAAGATACGGCTAGTTTTTCCAGTCCTGCCTTAGCTTTTCGACTCATGAACTTACCCGGAGTAAACATGATTTACTTACTATTCTCTCTCTCTTTTTTTAAAATTACAGTTCACGTTTTAGGGCAGTTTTAGGTCTACAGAAAAATCGTGCAGAAAGTGCAGAGTTCTCATACACTTCTCCTCACCACATCACATAGTTTTTGCTGTTATTAGCCTCTTCCATTCCTGTGGTACATTTGTTAAACTTGATGAGCCAATATTGATACATTATTATTAACTAAGGTCCAGAGTTTACATTAGGATTCACTCTTTGTATTGTACAGTCCTTTGGGTTTTGACATATACACAATGTCATGTGTCCACCATTGCAGTATCTTATAGAATAGTTCTTGTTCTCATTTTTATGCAGAGAGCTTGAGGTCTTTATTGGGACTAACTGTACCCATTCCTGAGCTTGCTGTGGAGATCCACTAAGTAGTAAAATGAAATGGGTGCGACACTTGTAACTATATTAGGAATGAATCTATGTCTGTAGGACACTTCTGTGAGTCTTAGCTAACGACAGGAGACTACATCCAGATACAGCAATGATCTGTGAAATACGATGTCACAATGCTGAGAACTCATACATGGCCTCTCTGGATCCTACCAGGCTACCTATAGAAATAAGGGCTTGAAAGAGGTCTGCGTAAGATGTTGTGTTATGTTAATTAGACTTAATGCTTATTGATTAGACTTTGTGTTAATTAAAACAAACAAACAACAACAACAAGAAACAACGTTGCCATCAAGTCAAAATCATGGCTACCCCACGTGTTACACAGTACAATTGCTCTGTAAGGTTTGCTTAGCTGTAATCTTTATGGAAGCAGATCGCCAGGCCATTCCTCCGCAGCGCCCCTGGGTGAACTCAAACCGCCAACCAACCTTCGGATTACTAGTTGAGTGCAAACCACTTGCACCACCCAGGTACCTTTGTGATAAGTAGACTTGACAAGTAGGTGTGACTGGAGATTGAACAATCACTTCTCTCCTTGGAGACTGACACACCAGAGTGAGGTGGTTCTGGCTGACAGGCTTGAATGGGAGGCTACACTGAATTGCTCTGCAGAAGTTGTATTTTATTGCTATGGTTCAGGCTAAATGCAATGCAGGGAAGTAATAGAAGCAGAAAACTATCGTTATCATTACAAAAATAATAATACAATATGCCTTACCTTTTCGTAG